TGGCAGGTAATTTTGACAGCTGTCACAGGTGGCGCACGGTCCACCTCTTGATTTTTACAACACCTTGATTTCAACCTTTATGAAATTGACTGTACATTATATTTGAAATATATATATAGGATCCCAGTATATCTACCCTAACTTTTCTAACCCCAACTTTCCTAACCCTAACTTACCTATATAACCTCACTTCCTACCCTCACTTCCTCTCACATCATTCTTACTCACATCATTTTCATTTTCTATCCCCCCTTTACCCAATCCTAACTGCCCCTCACATCTCAATTTACATCCCTAACCCATTATTTGTTTTCCAAATTCAAGTTCCACATCAACTTCTACAACCCATAACCCTACACACATCCACTTTTTTCCACCCTTATACATTTCTCCTTATCTCCACCTTTCCTCAACCTCCCACACACACTTTCATAGCAATCATATATATATATTTAAAATTATAAAACTCAACTAGCCATTGTTAGTGAGCATTGAGTACTCCTTCAAGTACCCAACCCTCAGAAAAGAAGTGTACTACATGTATGAGTGAGCTAGGTCCAGGATCACAAAGGAGATGAGGATGAATGAGATATACTCTGAGCTTTCACATTCCCAATGGTTGGGAAAAAACCCAGAGCTTGAGAGGGGACAATTATATAAGAAAAAACACTGAAAAGATAAAACAGTGAAAAATTCTGACAGCAATTCTAACTAGACAAAATAGACAAGTGAACAGGTAACAGGAAACAGAACTTCAATCAATCCCAACAGAGAAATTTATGAACATAAGCCTTTCCCTTATCAGTCTTGATTCCATTCCTTCTGTCTGTCATGATTCACAGAAATCAGCAAACTATGGTTTAATTGTTCCTGCGTTGTTATGTGTTACTTGATGCTGTGCTATCCTGAATTTGTGTGATGCTGACCATGTTACGTTATGATGTCATAGATAAGTTTCAATTTTATAGTCAACTGAACAAAAATATAATAAATCATCTTACAATCTTTTTATTGTGTTCACTTATTGTTCTCTTTTTCTAACTCGTTCAAGTTTTCTGTGATAACTTATTGATTTGGTCTACATAAAGCTCAATACTACACGACAACCTTCTTCAACTATAAAGCTGAATCTCAATCAAACTCAAGTCTTTATCTAAAAGGAAGGAGGGAAAAAAGGCAATTTCTAACTTTGATCCTTCTGTTATAAATTGTTATCACTTGGGATTCCTATCTAATTCTAAATCATTTATTTCAATGTAGACTCCTTTTTGATTGCATTGTTTGATTTAAAATTTGTGATACAAAGTTGAATCCTATTAGTGTAGTTGTTGTTAAGGTATTACTTTTTCTCTTTATTATTTCTCAATCTCTTTGTTAAGTGATGACTTACATTAGAATGTTGTTATTGTTAAGGCCCCGTTTGGGAGTGGTTATTTTACCGTGGTATTTTTGTAATCACATCAATACCACAGTGGTATCATTTTACCACGTTTGGTACCTTATTTTGCTGCAGTATTGTACCACAGTATTTAGACAATAATCTCTCAATACTGTGGTATTGCAATAATCGACAAAAAGCTGTTTATTCAAAATAAATCCGCACAGTGAAAGGGGACTTCGTCAAATTTTCACCTGCTTTTTCCATCCGATCAATTTCAAAACTCACCTGCCATTTTGATCAACCCATCTTCAACACATTCACATCTCAAATTGACAACAACCACAGATTTATTAGTTCGTTGATTGACCTCACCACACTGCAGCTTCATTGTTATTTGCTCCAATCAACTGGTTCCTCACTCAACCTTGTTGGTTCTCAAATTTTGTCACTCGCTTTGATAACCTTGTTTCTCCTTCAATCAATCTCATGGATAAGCTTCATTGTTATTTCCTCCAATCAACTGGTTCCTCACTCAACCTTGTTGCTTCTCAAATTTTGTCACTTGCTTTGATAACCTTGTTTCTCCTTCAAGCAATCTCATGGATATCAAGGGTTTTGGATTTTTTTAAACTCGCCAACAATATGAAAAGGATGAATAAGACGATTCCTTGGAGAGAGAAAAGTTCAACTTGATTGTTAATGAGAATCACAAATTATGATGAGTTACAAGAACTGAGCAATATTGGTAAGTTTGCTTGAGCATGGATCAAGGACAAATGATGGTGAGGTTTTGTGAGCATATACCACAGTCTGGAGGAAGTCAGGGCAAGTGGTTTTTTTTTGGTGTTGAAATGCCAAATGATTATGATCAAAAACAGAGATTATAACTGTATTGCACATCAAGTGCCAGTTTTCCATCTCTACTGCATCATTTGGGCCAAAAATGCAGTACACTTTGTCACTGCTCCCAAACGGGGCCTAAGAAATCAAAAATATAAATTTGTTCAAAATAAAGAGAGGTCCTACCTGTTCCCTACACTGTCTGGTCCTGGATACAGAACAACTATTATACCAATCAAAATAAAACTAAATAAATTTCTCCAACACCTAATTGAAACTGTTACCTTCCATTGCAAAACTTGAGACTGAGGTATGACAACATGAATTTGTGGTGGAATTGAGAATCAATACCTTTTTACCATAACGGGTTTTTCTGGTTCTGATTATCTTGCTGCTGATCTAAGGGTCATACATAGCTCCCAGTAACTACCAATGGAGATTATCTACAGTGATGATATAGCCTTAGGTAGGGAGCATCAGAACATGATCATGTTAACAGAAAGAAGCTTTGCTGAACTTCATTCAAATGTGTGAACAATTCACCACACATCAGATTTGCAACCATTGGGGTTGACCAGTACCAAAACATTCTACCACATTGCTTTCCATGTTCATTTTCAACTATAGATAAATCACTTCAACTGCTTTCCTCTTAGTTCCAATTTGTCCAATCAGAAAATAATCAGGAATATCTGCATGAAGTGTTTTGATTTACTGAAAGATATGAATTGATTCATCCTAAAGATTCAAAATGGTCAATCAAAGGCAAAAGCAGTTTTGTCTTGGTACCACTCAAGCAATCTTTTGATTACATAAACCACTTGGAGGGGACTGTACATTACTAGGCAATGAGATAAAGACAGGCAAGTATGTACAAATCCATGAGTAATTTTTGGTGTATGTACACTGTAATAATAAGAGATGTGGTGTGCTTCAAGGCCTTAGGAAGACCTGTGAGTTGGCATGTAAAATAAACTTTCTCTGACTCCACATGTGTTCTACTTTGACACCATCTAGATTCTAGAGGAATTTGATGAGGGTGATAAGTAGGGGTATTACTCCAGTGGTTGTTGACAAAGCTCTTAATTAACTGGCCCCCATTGGTCCCACTGATAGAGGTACCTGTGGAGTACAAAGTTTGACCTGACTTAACACAAGTACCTTTCAGGGGCTTTTTTACCTTTTTGAGCTTGGTGCCCTGGAGAGGGACTTGCAAATTATCCACTGTTTTTGGTGTGTCTACAAGGATCCAAAATGCTCTGCTCTTCTACAGTCTTGCATCTTTTGTAGCTGGTGCAATACACAATTTCTGAGGAGAACAAAGCCTACAGGTCATCAAGATGAACAACTTTGGTTTTTGAACAAAGTTCACCAATTAACTATTGATCCTCCTGGAAGAGAAAGAATGCATTACTCAGATCCTTTGTAAATTTTGTTTCAAAGATACAGTCACCAAATTTCAAATTCCAATTTTTTTCTTTCTTTCTTGAGAGAGCTCAGAGTGAGATACAAGAATTATGAATAGACAGATCTGAAGGCAGTGGTCACAAGTATGTCAGTCCTTCAAAATCAAAGCCAAAAGGTTCTTCACAAGAAATATTCATTACATAAATTATAACATCTTTTTTGTGTCTAGTTTAGCGCACTATCCTAGCAATATTGCAGCCAAAAAACCACTGAAATATCTAGTGAGTTTTTTTTGAGAAATAGCGCACCCAAAGCGCTCCAGCTCATAACGCAGGCTCCAATACATCATGGAAATTGGTCAGATGACATTGCATAGCACAGTTAATTGTGTGTTACCATTCCTGCAAACACACCAAACCCAAAGTTGTACAACTCACAATGGTGGTGTCAAAATTGGACATGACCATGCACAGCCACCAATCACAAGTCACTGGCAGGCCAGTGTGCCCTGTCAACATGAGAATGTTCTGAATATGATTTGATTTGGATATCACATGAATATCACCGATATATTGAGAGGTTACTGTTCTACACAGCTTGATTTATGAAATTAGATTCCTTAAAAAGAGTTCTAATCCAGTTCAAAAAGGTCTGACTATGTTTCACAGAAAGTACAAATGGTGGACAAAGACTACTGAGGTTATTCTTTCTGTTCAAGTGTTGTGATTTCTTGTAGCATATATTGAAATCAATCAATCTCTTATTTGAAAGTAAGCCTTTATAGATCATCTTTAAGGCTTCCTTCCACAGCTAGTCAAAACCTCATTCACTAGTGGCAGTAGGGGTGAGAGTGATGATGGCCAGGCTAGTTACCAATATTTTCACAAGCAATACCAGAAGGCACTTTTTTTGGGCAACACCGACACATGCACCTATATACATACTTTCTGGACCAAATGGCTTACACTGCCCTCACTTCCTCAAGCAGCTCATTTTGCCTTTAGGAAAGTTACCTTCAACACACTTTGACTCTCTTTCGCATCTTGATTGAGTATCAATTTTGGATATGAAATATTTGGAAAACAAGACCCAGTGTTATTGATGATATTCAAATGCAATAATTATTGAGTTTATGTGAAGAATTGTCAAGACAGAAATTATTAGATATAAAAAGCATTTGTTAAAATTATTAGTGTACAACCTCACACGAGATAAAAAAGATTATTAGATGAGAAAGACTGAAAAAAAAATCGAATTTATCTATTTGAAAGAAATCTGGGTTTCTGGTACGAAGAATATGTTTGAAAAGAACGAAGATTATGAATTGATACAAATCTCTTCCAAGTCCGTTTTAAGTATCTTCCCATCAAATCTACCACACTATCAAAATGAAACCAAACAAGCTACTAAAAGTTATCAAAAGAAGACCAAGAACTTGAACATTAACCCGATTTCCATTTGATTTTGCTCTACCGTTTACATTAATCCCAGGATTAGCACCCACAGCTTTTCCAACACTATTCAATAAGTTTTGATAGTCATTCACGGGTAAAGCAAAACCAATAAAACCAGGTAGAGGTTCGATTTGAAAAACTGAATAAACGTTTTTCAAAAAACTATCACCAATGATCCAAGAAGGAGCAATAAGATTGGACTGAATTGTAGGCGAATTTACTGCAAAAATAGCTCCCAAACAATTTTCACCTGATTGATCTATTTTACCTATATTAAAATCATCTGGTGAGATTGAATACGATATACCACCGAAGGTTAAACTTAAGGTGGGTAAAGAAGAACATGGAAATTGATAGTAACCTGTTTGAGTTGAATGCAAATTTCTCATTGGTCAGATTTAATTCAAGAACAAGAGATCATACGAATATATAAGCTTACCACGATAAATTCCCTTAGCAGGTTGAGATCCAGGAATATGACTATAAATGGCCTCAACAGCAGAAGTAGGAGCACCGATTAAAGAAGTACCAGTATCGATTGCAACCGATTTGGAACCCAAATTTGGAATCACTCCTCCATTAATTGAGACTTCATCCATTGCAATTTGCCAATAAGATTGACTTTCTAATGGGATATAGTTTATTTTTCCAGTATAAAGTGATTGATTTACACCACCTAAAGTTAAAATCCCACCAGGTTCTGATTCTTTACTACTTGTGATATTAATAAATCTCGTGATACCCAATGCAAAAGTTGAGATCTTGGCTGATTGCCAAAAAGGTGTCACACCAGTTGATGCTTGTAACTTGAATCCCATTCCCATGATACCTATTCAATTATCAAGCATGATTAGAAAACTAGATATAGTCCTTATGAATATAATTAGAAAAGAGGTTCACCTGATACATCACCCGACAAAAGTCCACCAGTAGCCTGATTAGCTACACCAAAAAGTTTATCTGCAACAGTATAACCAGCAAAACTAATAATCTCAGTTCCAATAGATCCAATCACTTTTCCCGACCCATAAGTCACTTGAAATTGATTTAGAGTAGATTTAAAAGTTTTAGATTTTTCTGGTGAATATGATGCACCAGTTATAGAATTAGATGCGAATTCTGGATTTAAAAAGTTGCTTGAAACTCCTTTGTTATTGGCTGATGTAGTTGGGGTTCTAGGTCGTGGAAAGGTACTGCCTATTACCCAGAAATCTGATGATCCTGTATCGATGATTACGTTGAATCTTTGTGGTGGTTTTCCTATTTCTACTACACCGTAGTAATCTGAATCTACACAACCATTTGTGAGGGCTATTCAAATATTCAAATGGAGAGGATAAAAACAATGAGGTTAGTAAAATATGAGACAATCACATCTTGATAGTCGAGATTGATAAGCTATACGATGATGTTCTTTTATTTCAATTCCAATGAACAGAAAGTCTCTTTGTGGGGTTCATGGAAGGAATCAAGTTACAATACCCACGAATACTTGATCCACGTCGTTGAAGGGATGGATCATCATCTTGTGAACCTGGTTGACCTCTCGAAAGACGATATTTGTTAAGCAGTAACTCCGCCTGCCAAATTGCTCTTTGATTAACCGCCTGATCTGAATCATCCCTTTTTTCAAAAGTGGGCTTTCTTCGAATGATAGGGATTGAAGTTAAAGGTTCACAATGTGTATCAATCGATTGGATCAAGATCAACAATTGAAGAAAAAAGAATTTAAATCGATTCATCTCGAGAAGAATGGGATCATCATCTTCTTAATCCCGCATTGCTTTATCATTTCAAAGGTTTCCCTTCAACCACAAGTTTAAAGAGTTCTTCACGACCGAGCATCTCATGCTCATGGTAGCTTAGTAACTTTTGCAATATTTTTTTGATTTTCTTCAATGGTTGTATTTTTCCGTTGGTAGATAGGGATCAACATCGAGGCGTAGAGAAATCTGATTCGAAATTGAACAGCCGGATCCCGGTTTCAGTATTCACGAAAAATAACGTGATAAATACGTCAAATAAAACTGATCGCTTTCCTTGATTGCCGTCATCTCTTCAACATTTTGGGATGTAGGTGATCTGAGGTGGGCTTGAGTATTGAGACTTGCATCCAACAAATCGCAAGAACGAGCGAACGAGATTTTGCATAGCGGTCCTCAAAGTTCGATCGATCAGTGTACGAATAATACGTACCCGTGCTGCGATCGCTCACTTGTGCTTAACATGGTTCTCGTTGCTATTGGCCTTATTGGCCACACGATGTGTGCCTCCCTAGACCATGAGAGCACCTGTGAAACCTCCATGATGAATTTTTTCACATAGGTTCACTCGTTCGCCCATTGTTGGGAACAGTTTCTTGCCAGTAGTGTGAACCAGTATTTTTTTCGGTAGCTTCGTCGTTGGCGATTACTGCAAGGGTACTTAGGTATCGTATGATTTGTGCGCGTTCAGAGGTTCGAGGCATGATTTGAAAATTTTCGAGGTGATGGAAGTATCAATGAGATTACAGTAGGTAAAGTAGCTAGGACCCCGGAGAGCTCTTATCGAGGTCCATGCTGTAAAACATTTTCCAACACTACACACACTTCACCACACTTCACATTCATAAAAACTTGACCAAATCCCTTGCTCCTCCCTTACCAGGAGCAAAGGACTTTGTCAACTGTGAAATCCATACATACACATCAAACTTTAACCAAGTCCCTCGCTGGCTCTGTGCGACCGCTTAAGACGCAATCCTTGCGTGAGAAGTGAGCTGTATTTGCTCAAAAATCTCTACATCTGTTTATTTTTTGGCCACTGGTGACACACAAACGGAGCGGAAGACTGCAGACATTTAAAAGAAGGTTGATGATTTATATGCATCAAAACACTTACCAACACCTTGACAGAGGACAGTAAAATCTGATATTTTTACAAAATAAAAGAAAATAAAAACTTAACTTTGGAACACTGTTTACCCAGCGATAGCTTTAGGTATGTGCATCGTGCAATCAATTAACCAAACAGTTGAATTTTCTTTGGTTCAGTACAAGATTTGTATGGTATTGGTTCTGATGAGATTGTGTTCAACAGATTTCAGAGGTTATGCGATAACATGATCTCATTGAGAGTGGGGGCCACCCCTGGAACATTTAGTTGCTTTTAAGTACTAAAATCACTTATCAAATTCCTCTGCAGACTAGAATCATATCAAGGAAAACTCGTCTTCTACAATCATGACTTCATAGGGTATATCGTTACAAAAAATAGTTGATCTACAAATCATCACGAATTAAGGGATAAAAGCTTAGAATAAAACCTGATGGTAAGACTCGGAAAACTCTAAAAAATAAGTTTAATGTAAACGCCAGAGGAAAAGCAAAAAGTGAAATTTATAATATGATCAGCATAACATCTTTGTTGACGAAAAGCTTCTTTCTGTCCGTATTGCTTGATAGGATATCATCGATGAGCCAATTTACTCAAGGTATATCATGAATCGACTCTTGACGCATTGTTTGTCTGAACAACTCGAGAGAAACCAAAGGCCTTCAAAGAGCAAAAAGAGTTGACAAGGTTGCAATTGTGTAAGATTGAAGTCTTCAATCAAAGGTGGATGAAAGATTATCTTACTTGTATGAGGCAACCTCATGTCCCGCTCCAAATACTCGAACGAAAGTAAGCGGGCCTGATGATTTACAAAACAAGGAAGTAAGAAACCCCTTTTTTCCTATTATCAAGGAGTAAGAAAAGACACAGACCTGCAGTTTTATAGATTCCTACTACACTTCCTTGTATTTCAAGGTTTTTCCACTGAGCATCTCGAAATTCTTTTTTGAACTTCCATGACATAGCTTCAATCGAGTTGTAAACTCCAATCCTGAGAGGAAGAAGCATGTTCAGCTCCTCTATTTGATCTAGTCAATCTGTTTCTAGCAAAAAGCTCACCAATTACAAATGAAGTCGAGGTCCTGGTCAAATCAAGAGAGTTAGCGATGCGATGAACCAGTATTTCATGATCAAAGACTTACCCCTGCCCAAATCAAAGTCCTCAATCCCTGATTCAAAAGTTTGGCTAATGCAGGTATAGTTGTACGCGTACCATCACCTGTAGATCTAAATTTATCAAAAGCTCTATTGAATTGTACCAATATATCATATTTAGATCTCAGTGTGAGTGACCTTGACACAAGATAGAAAGATGTGTCATTTGAAAGGTTATTGTCAAGATGATTAGACTTACGCATCAGGACAAACATCGTATCTTGAGACCGCGCCAATTGCATTCTTCACTTCACGGCGAGCAAGATATTCCATGAACTGAACGTCCACAATTAATACATTACAGAGATCTATTTATCAGCTCATTCACTCTATGGGTGGAACTGCTAGAACTCTTTGCTACGGTTGTACTTACAGATATGGATGGGAAAGTATCTGATGCATTGTTAGGGACTGAATAGGTTGTTGAGACAAAGCAATTAGCATGATCGTCAAAACCACTCGATAAGAAACCTAGTGAGAAGAATGAATAATTTGAAAAGGTGATAAAAAAGGAAAGGAACTCAACAGAAATACTGATTTCGATTTCCTATTGATGGATTCGTGATTTGAGTTTCACAAAATTGATCAGCAGCACGACAATCTTCAACTTTCCCAGTTTTATAACAATTCTTGACAAGATCTAAACAACCATTCTCTTTGGTTAATGCAGTCTTCATCTCTTTTAATGTTTTTTGATCCACTAGATCAAATAATCCATTGTATTTAGCTTGCGAGAAATCGTAGTAGGATTGGTACTGTTGGAATATCTATCAGTCGTAGTTTCGGTTAGATCTGAAGGTGTTCACTTACTTGAATAAGAGGATCGAACCAGCCATTGTTCTGAGGCGAGAAAAAGAAAAGAAAGTATATTGAGATCCGGTGATTTCAATGATTTCAATTCAGGTGAAAGAGGACTTACAATTCCGAGGGCCTTTAGACGTATAAGATGACCCTGGAGCTTTCCTGATTTGATCAGTTTGTTTTTGGCGACAAAGTACTGTGATAAAAATCATAAGTTGATATGTCCATGGAGAGGCTGTAGAATGCAAAGCCTTACTTCAGAAAAGACCGGACCTAAACAAAGAGAAAATACCAAAAGTGTATATTGAGGCTCGCGTGATCCAACAACACATATAGAAAGATGAATGGGTGATTACCATAATGACCTCCATAACTTTCAGTGAAAAGTCCAAAATCAGCCTTTTTGTATTTAGAAAAGGTTGGATTTTCGAACAAAAGTTGTAAAAATTTCCAAATCTTTGGGGCGGCTTGTGCGGTTGAATGAACATCATTTTTCCCATAAGAGAATCCGGATGAGATGGGCTGAATTGAAAAAGAGGTGGAGAAGATTTCAGTATAGGAATATTTAACAAACTGACTCATCAATCACTCACTTGGTCAACATAGATCATATGCTACAGGTATCGCCAGACATAAATGGTGAAGTTGATCGTGAAGTCCATGGATTCGAAGGTGGTAGGAAGAAAAGAAACAGAGGGCATCAGTGCTTTATTCACACGAGAGTTCTGCTCCTCATCAGAAATGTGTCGTCAAAAGACGTAAGACAATAGACGCATCAGCGATAGTAATTGATATGCTCACCGAGTATTCGTTCCACGAATAAGGGTTCAGAGTCGAGGATGAACCATCAGGCGAGATTGTACATGGTCCATTTTCCTGGAACAGTCCAATCATGCTGCTACAGCCGGGACCACCCTACAAACAAGGTCGTTGAAAACAAGTCAATTCGTCATATTCCACGTCACTCTTTTCCATCGACTGCCATGAGACCAAAAGAACGCTCAAGGAAGATAACGGTATGAGATGGAGAGACTTACACTTAGCCATAGAGTAAGAGGCGCTGTTTTAGGATTATTCCTAGCCTCGAAGAACCAAAAGAACATGTTTTGATTTCTACCAACTTCAATGTAACCAGAGTAAGTCTTCACTCCAGGAGTCGTCTCGCAAATTCCACTATCTTTCAGAACACGATAAGCGCCAGTTCCATTTTTTGATGTTGTAGAGTTATTGATGATTGAAGGCGTCACATCTTGAAGGATGGAGGCCGAAGAGACAGATTTAAATATATTAGATAGGCATAAGATCGTCCAAGTCAGCCAGTGGGAATAAGATTTGCTAATCATGTTGCTCTAAAGTTCGATGCGTCAAGAGGTCAGAAGTAATGATAAGCTACGAGGATAAATATGTAGGTGAGACGCGACTGAGTTCTGTGATCTCGAAAGTCAGAAAGAGGTTCAGCTTGAGAATATACTGTGCTTGTGGTCGATATTTACGCGGAAAGAAAATGCCAAGACTGAGATCGACTTTTCTTAAGCAACGAGAACTTGATCAATGATTTCAAGAAGACGAGAGCACCCCTGGAGGAGTAGCTGTACAAAGAGGAATGCAGGTTTGAAGAATTCCCCTAAACAGCAGTATCCTCGAACCACCACCAGGTCGCTGGACATTGTTCATCAGAATCTACACTGGAATCGAACATCCTTTCACTGGGATGGATGGTTGTGAGAGGTTCGGTGCCGGTGGGACCAAGATGGCTGAATGAAGATCGCACATAGTTGGATGACCGCTTGAATGTGGCATCTGGACACAGAGCAAACTGCATCATGCGACGTCGATTCCGTTGGAAGTTGGAAAGGCAGTATATAGGCCTCAACTCTGATAGTTAAGCGATTGAAGATAGATTTCGTTTTTATCAAGATCAATGGGAGTCGAACAGCTTTTGAAAACCGCACTGTCGACCGGCCGATGGCAAATGGCCAGGAAGTTCATACTTCATACCAACTTGTGCAACCCGACTTTGATCCTCCAAAACCACGAGGGCACAGGTGGCACCGGTGCGAGGTGGTCCAATCTCAACTTAAAGCAAATCAAAAAAAACCAACGCTGAAGTCAAGGCCAGCAAGAAGACGCTCAAAGTAAACCGACCCGAACCTTGCCGTCACTGGATCTTCTAGAGCCACGCTTACCAAGCTTTTTCTCGAGTTGTTGGACGCTTGTAGATTCTCTTCCAGTAAGTGCCGATGATGCACAAAAGATAGAGCATGATAAATTCCACATCATAATTCCTTTGTCTAACAATCATTCGCTCAATGACTCAATCTCAGGATTTTGAAGTATGTAAGGGGTGGGTTGGAAGTCCAATCCGAAAGATACTGATCGAACGACTGGGTCTAGTAGACGCTGGCGTGTGCACCACGCACCACGCATCCCTTCACTTTTATCCTGTGTGCAGGAAAGAGAGCCTATCAACTTCTACATGTGATATGAATACATACTCGCGTAGTTTGTACGGTGTTTTCATCCGTCATCATGGTCCCACTTCAACTTGTATGATCCCATGCCCTCATCCTAAATCACAACTTGGTTTGAATCACAAAGCAACGAACAAACTTTTCGCCAATTTATAAATCTTGTTTTGTTCGCGTGAAAATGTGTGAAGATGTTTCAACCGCTTCGAATTTCATGGTCACTCAAAGGATATTCTGGAACAGCCATCGGCATGTTCGAGGTTTGTTTGGAAACTGTTTTGTGATGTCTGTCATGATCTATACCAAATCAAAAGTTGGCGGCAGAAAGACACATTGTAATCGAAAGGGAAGTTTGGACGGCCTCACAACCATCCCTTCTAGCTCTTTATGTGGGCGAGGATGACGGCTGAAGCAGACAGTGGGAAACTGATGCCTTGTCACGCAGGGCATTTATCAGAGAAGCCATCATCCAAAGTGAAACAAGCCCACGCATTCCATGAAATACCATAGGGAATAGAAATGCCTGGGCCTCAGGTAGATCTAGGGAATGAACAGTAGTCCTATTGAGGGCAGATCCAGTGAAATGGACACTCATTTCAAAGGAGGAATTGTGTGCAAAGTGCCATTGATTCGGCATTGCACACAGTTTTTCTGATGTGAGACAACTAAATACATACAAGTGACAGTAAAAAATATTGAGAACGCATACACCTTATTTTTGTAGGAAGTTTGATTCATGTTTGTTTTAACCCGAATTGATTCAGAGGAAGAAATCTCTTGGTCCGATTTTTTGGAAGGAGATCGTTGATGTATAGGAATATGAAAGACCTTCTATCACTTGGTTAGAATCACCAAAGTCGGGGCCAAAAGACAGGCACCTTGGCCTTGTAGGCCTGATAAGCCGGATCGTCACCCCACGACTTGTCCGCCTTGGACTCTAGGGGAGGAAGTCCAGAGAGTTTGGTGATCAAGAGGTACTCCATGATCGGACTCAAACTTGCCACCACTCTCATCCAAGCTGTCCCAGTTGCCCGATCAAGGATGGGTCAGCTGCTCTGATTGCGATGAAAAAATTCAAAAAACGACAAACGGGTTAAAGTGCGCCAGGCCAAAAGAAACTGCGCAGTCCACATCATCACTTCTCCCACGTAGTTAGGATGACGGCTGATAGACCATAAGCCTCGAGTGATGAACTTCTCATCATGGACCTTTTGTGCTCTCTCTTCTCTCCAGGCAGACTTTTGTCGATCAGCAACTCTATGGTTGATAGAATGTGAAGTCAGCACACTGATGCGGTATAAAGTAGCCGGATTCACTCACACCTCAAAGAGGAAAGAACTGGCCCACAAGCTGGCACCAAAGACTCCACTCGCACCGAGAGGTGCATTACGAGACGATGGAATTGAATTGACCTACAGAATACCAGATCGCAAATCCGGTCAGCGCACATTTCTGTTCACTACCGAGAAAAGGAAATAGTGATGCCTTCAACTCAACTGCATAGACTGGAAAAGCCGTGAGCGCGATCCACGTAGCCTGGGCCCTGGATCAATTTGAAAGTTAGCTCGATGTGAAAACGGACATGAAGCAAGAGATAATTGGACTAACATCCAAGCACCAAAGAACTTAACAGGGTCGCGCTTGATTTCATCGAATCTTGAATCTGACCCGCTGCGGCGGATACGCTACAGACGCCAATACTTTATCAACGTGTTGCTAGAACATATGAAGAGCTTAGCTGACCTGGAACAGAAATGTGCCAAGCCGGGTGGCCCATAGGCATGTGAATCCACTCATGAGCAATTGTCGCGTATGAAAACTCGAGATCCGAGGAAGAGGCTTGGATGATTTATAGATATATCGATCTTTCAGGGATGGGTAGTAAAGCGAAAGCGCCTGATCAAAATCAAACAAATAATATTCATCAGCCATTGAAGTGATCTGCGAAGTATCTAATGACAAAATCTGCCTTACAGTGCATGATATGAATGTCAAAGAACCTGACAGATCATAGAATCTAGGTGAGATCCAAGTCCGAATCAACTCTCAGTTATCATAAAATGTACCAAAATCGAGAGATGAGCTCAAAAGAACTATACTACGTTTCAGTCTGAAGTGGGATTGCCACTGAAGCACAGGCAACTTGGATAGCATAAGCTGCGCCGGTAGTTACCAACAAATTTCGAACCGTATGACTTGACATGGCGAACAGAAATATGGAAAATCGATCAGATTGGATGATGGGTTGTGCTGTTGACCGCCACCCGGAGCTGTGATTCGATCAACAGACTCTATATGCATGCACAATCTCTGACGTCATACGCTTTAGGGTTGTGCACTCAGCAAGGTTGAGCACGTGCAGAGAGTCGAGACCTACATACAGGCTACATACATGCAGGAAGTCATGTGACAGTCACAGCTTCACATGCAAACGACCACTGAGTTCAAGCTTCCTGATTGTGATCCAACATTTCTCGTTTTCCGAAAACCGATCGATGCCGAACCGTGACGAACGAGCGCCTTCCTCTCGCCGTGGTGCCGAAGAACACGGATACTCTAGAAGTGGTAGAACAGGATCAAGGCAAGAGTATCAAAATCGTGACAGAGAAGAACGTGACTCAGACAGACGTACCTCAAGACGATCTTTATCACCGGCGCGCCATCGATCATCCAAAGGTGATCGTCGTAGCCGCTCCCCTGAGAGGCGAGATGGTCGGAGCCGCGTAGATCGACCACGAGAGCTTGAACCTCATCGATCCTCTCCGCCACGCCATCTTCGCTCACGACCTCGCTCTCAAAGTCCACCAGCTCAATCCGTTTCTTTATCAGCACCGCAAGCAGCATTAGGAGACGAAGAACCTGAACCTGAACCTTCCGAAGCACCAAACTTTGCACCCTCAGGAAAACTTGCGGCTGAGACGAAAACAGTGAACGGTGTAGTTCTCAAGTATCATGAACCCCCAGAAGCTCGTAAACCAAGCAAAAATTGGCGATTGTACGTTTTTAAGGGGAAAGAGCAATTGGATGTATTACATGTACATCGACAATCGGCGTATCTGTTCGGACGTGATCGACTCGTAGTTGACATACCCATCGATCATCCATCAAGCTCAAAACAGCATGCCGTTTTACAATTCCGACTAGTGCAGACCCGCAATGAATTCGGAGATACGAAGAGTTTAGTAAAGTGGGTGAAGCTTACAACTCGCGTGCAGCCTGATCTTGGTCATTAACGTGTTTGCCCATAATTCTAGACCGTTCATCATCGACCTCGAGTCAGCCAATGCGACGTTTGTCAATGGGGAGAAAATTCCACAAGCCAGATATTTCGGGCTGGAATCGGGTGACGGTGAGTACACTATCATCACATCTCATTGAATACTCACTACTAATCTTGATATTATGTCTTCATCGTTTTAGTGATCAAATTTGGGCTCAGCACCCGTGAATACGTCCTCATTCCTGAGACCTAGTTATCATAATATCTACAACTGCCGGATGTATTGATCTACGTCTTCATTTTAGAGTGTATAGTAGGGTGTGAAAAATTTGCAATTATTCAAGGTTTTATCCTGCTTGCCGTAGTGTACCTGCTCCGGATGGGACAAACATAATTCGAGACACCAGCGGATATTGAAGTGCATCCTTTCTGAACATTTCTTTGGCGATGTGATATTTTCTAGGGCTGCAGTAAATCATATTCACACCGAGCGCTTACTAGTATTATCCACTTACGGCGGGGGCAGACTTTGGATTGTCCGACAATTCCAGCACCTTCAATCATAAGCAAGGTATCAATTTCACAGTACCCTGATTATGAGATAGCTTTTTCAACCGCATTATAGACTACAGAAAGTATTGTTCTTAATTTGTGCAAATGAACGCCGGGGCTCTCAATTCCAGCATGTGGGATGTGAGCTCTTTACATGGAGTTGTTTATTTGGCCTCTCAATTCTTGATGCCCACTTCATCAAATTCCCCTGTGAGTTGGATAACTCACCTCTGCATCTGGTACCTTTCGATCAATGTAAAGTTGACTTATGGTATAGTCTTTTCCGTCAATGGTATGACTCAATCCTAGTGCCCCACTACTGAGCAAAAACGTTCGGGAATTTTCTCAAGATTTCAGAAATTGAAGTAGCACTAACTCAGCCAGTACCTCACTCAGTTGTTCTACTTGTCTCCAAAATAGTCAATGCCCGCCTGTGCTCTCAGATTCTTGGAATTCGCTTCACTATACATTGTAAATATTTCGCTACTACTTTGAACAAACGACAGTAAATCTACAACCCCGCCACCAACTTTCTTTACAAAATTCTTATCTACAAACATGCTCTATGTACACCAAAAAAACAAATGAACTCGAGAAAGGACCAAGAAGCTTATGACAAGAGTGGTTATATGACAAGCACACTGATCAAAAGAGACACAATTAGTACCCATGACAATTTCAAGATTGAAAATGAAGGTCGGAGGTTTCCACCAGAATTATGAGCTGAATCTTTTGCATCAGAGCGAACATCAGTGGAGTTGAAAACCGGACTAGAAGCACCAGTGTGAGGATAATTCATGGGACTAGAGTAATGCGAGTCAACTGTTTTGTTGGTGTCTGAATTGTTATCATTTTTGGTATTGGAGGTATCTGAGACGCTCTTCGAGTTGGACGGATCATTAGTGAGACTGAAAGGGTGTGACTGTGCCAAGATCTCATCGGACTTGTAGAATGTTTGAAAATGTGAGTTCATGGGATGAAACGGCTGGAGAAAAAAGAAATGACTCAACTTGACTTTTGATGAAATTGATGGTATAACCTGTGCCAGATTTAAGATGATTATCACCCGACAAGTCCAGTGTCACCTTCCCATCGCCAGAATTTAAATCTTGCTTTACAACTTCTGTGATGCCTTCAGGATAAAGACTTTTGAGGAGAACCACATACAAATCAATTTGGGATAGGCATGCGAGGAGCCAGGTGAACTCACTTTGGATCCCGGTTTGTGATTTGGAGATCAAATTTTTCTGGGTCGGTTGAAGCGGTAGACCATTCGATCTTAATTGGAGCAGATATACTAAATAAAATCGAGTTAGTTCGTGGCTAAGAGATTCACAGGGAAGATGTAAAATAACTCAACTCCCAGGTGGTAGTTTCGGTAGGTGACGTGATGTCAAATGCCTTGCTTCCCGCAAAACACAACAATAAGAGATGAAGCACAGAAGGCATTGTCGAAAGCATTCTAAAAAAGATGTGGTGTCAAATGTGATGGTGTGGTGGTCCTTGAAGGGCGATTGGTTGAGTATATATTTACTATTATGATACACGAGGAAAAATGGAAGAGTTGATTGTATGAGAGTCAGACAGCCTATGTATATAGTTTGATGGAAAAGAAAGACAAAAGACAAACAGAGAGGTCCATTTTATCGTCCATCTCAACACCTCATGACCATTTCTTCAAGCAGCCCGCTCGCTGCTCAGCGTACCAAGTATTAGCAAATTCAATGCACATTTGAAATTGCTATGTACCCAGATGAGCTTTCAAATTGCTACAAGACCTTCGAACTTCGCACGCTTACTTCTCATGACGTAGACCCTTTGGGGCATAATCGTGGAAATCATCCCCAGAGCAGATTACTCAAAGGCTTGTGGAACACTGCTACATGCCCCTTTTTGGCACGCAGGCGTTGGAATTGCGAAACCGTGGACGTAGTGTACCGTGTGCGCAGACCCTTTGCCTTTGAGCAACCATCCACGGCCGAATGCCTGAGGTTATTCTACCTGAATGATCTGCTATGAGCCATCTCGGTTATTTCAGAGAGACCTTCCGAGTTTGAAATCTGGTGTTTAAAATTCCACTCTGAATGGGTGTTGTACATAATTTGAATAAATCAAAAAGCGATAGGACAAATCTACGGTGGCCTACAAATGGTCGCTCTAAGCGGCACTTAAGTCACGTCGGTCAAAATCATAAAATTGACATTAGGGGTTCTCAAAGTTGGCCCGGTTTCAAGAAAACCCAGTTGACCCGGTTGCTTTTTGGCAGTAACCTTGTGTATCGAGTTGACATTTTTTGACAGATCACAGCCAAAAAGTCAACTGGGTCAACCGGGTTTTTACAAACCGGGTCTACTTTGAGAACCCCTATTCTTGACCCCAAAAAAGCCCTGCTGAACAAGTGCCAACCCGGGATAATGTCTAGACCCGCGGCAATCTTCCATCTCTTGGTAGATTTTGAGAACGTTTTCTTTCTTTCATGAATCTTTTCAAAGAATTTTTGTATGTAAGAGAGGTAAAAGATAAAATAAAAGCTATGTTAATTATATGTGTATAAATGTGTGATAGAAAAAATGAGATCGAAATAAGCGTGCAATAATTGTTGATTCATATCTGAACATTTGGCGAAGTGAATCTTAGTTGGTGAATCTCAAGTACGCTTTGCTGAATCTCCAAATAGAAAAAGGCAAGGTACAGTCAAACCAGAAAAGCTTGTCACAAATTCCCCGCCAAATTGCTCGAGTTTTGCGGGCAAAATCGGTCAAGCTTTTCCAATTTGACTGTATATCAAAGTTCCGGGAAGAGAAAGACTCACCATGCAAAAGGCCAGAGAAAAAGAACACCTCCTGCAATAACATCATTCAAAAATACATCCACTTCCTATTGCACCGTCCATCCTAATCTGTCTGTTTTCATCAAAATTCTTTTATTTGTTATGGTCTCCTATCAGACTTTATTATCAGCTTGATTGTATCACTGTATCATTTCATGACAATCAAGCATTGCTCTCTTCTTATCTCATGACAATGATCTAGAGTCTCTGAGAATACAGCTAAGCAGGGCCCGTACTTGTGCAGCAGGGCTGTTCTCAAGGTCAGGAATGTCATGTTTCACAATTATGAAAATATTACTCAAGTAGCACTTCAGAGCCACCAATTTGTAACAAGATCCATATGCGCCAAGATCACACAATGTCAAATTGCCCCAATTTTACCCCAATTGGGGCCCGGTCCAGCCTGCTTGGTGTAGTAACTTTACCACCACAAATGGCAAACAGCACTTGAAATGGGAAAACTAGCTCCTAAGAAAAATAGCAATAGAGTGGCCCAAAGCAATTTTGGGCTGTTACACTGAATTATGTTACTCCAATGTTTTTGGATAACATAATGCTAAAAACTCACAGCCAAATGGCCAGGGTGATCACACAACACAGGAGTCACAAATTCAAATTTGAGTGCAACAATACAAATTTTAAAGGGTAGGAAACAAAACAAACGCAACAGATTTGGCTGACAAAAAGTGACAACACAACAGATTTTTTGGCCGTGCCACTACAAAATCAGCAAGAATAGAAAAAAAAATCAAGACACTTGCTCACAAGTTTTTTTTCAACAAAAAGTTCATCTCTTGGGAGGTGGTATGTACCTCACTGGGGGTTATGTAAGTCTTACTGCTTCTAGATATGTAGTGGTAAGACTTCTACTTAGTTTACTGAGTGTCATGTTACCTAGGACTACAATCCTGTTACAGGTCCTCTGTAACCACATCAGAAGGATGGTTTATTTTCCTACTGGGGTGGTGTGGGGGTAGGTCCTGGAGGGGCAGGTGTAACCCCGCCCCACCGGGCTGAGAACAAGGAACCTGTTGCAGGATTCTCTTCCTGGGCAGGTGGGTGGGAGACAAAATTTTTTCTATCACTTATCTGATGATGAAACCTAAAAGTGGCTGAGAGAGAGAATGGAAAATATTTTCCCAAGGCTTGGCAAGAAATTTTCTATTCCACAAAGTTAGGAATATTCCTCTCATGGGCAGCAGGGGTCCCATCTCTGAGACCCAGAGGCCCTGGTCCTTTTATTAGCTCTCCTACCACCTGCGCTGGAACTTAGATGTACTGTCGTGGGCTTAGGGTAATCTACCGATAAAGGTAACAATTTTTATCTTTTTATGATATTATGATAGAGTAGGAGATATTTTTTAGAATTTGTTATGTTTTTGTTTTTGAAGCTAAGAGAATAAAAAGAAAATAAAATGTAACAATTTCAGAAATTAGATGTTTATATTATTTATTATCAATTTAAATTAAGATAAGGCTAAGGAGGAGCTTCTCTTTCCCTTTAGATTGCTTCTTGACAGATTTCTCCCAAGCTTGTAGGACCAAACCAACAGTTTTGTAATTGTTGGTAATGGGAACTCTCTCACGTAGCCACAGGCAACTACCAACACACATCTCCGTAGTGCAAGGCTTCAAACAACCTTGCAAGGCAGTAGCCACATCAGCTGCTGCAAAAAAAAGTGCACTCAGCTTCAGCTGAAGCACCTGGGACCAATAGGTAGTCCTGTGCTAAAGAAGCCAGTACTGGATACTTGTGTTGATGTTCCTGAAGATGGTAAAATTGCAAAAAAACCAATATGACAAAGATGTTGCGATCAACTAGAGCGCACGAGTGAGAAATGGAAAGGGTGAGATGAATTTCATATAACACTAAACATGAACTGATGAGAAGAGAAAACATACCTAGAGCGCACAAGTGAGAAATGGAAAGGGTGAGGAGAAGAAACCCTTTCCTACTGTGGCTCTAGGTAGTTTATATACAAGCGTCTTATGTAACATTTATGTAAGAGTTATGTAAGCACTAAACAAGAGATGACGAGAGTTTGATTGATGATGAAATGATAGAAGGGAAGCATTGAATGGTGGGAAAGCACATCAATAGTGATTGTACAGTCAACTCCCTCTAAGTTGATATCCCTGTAAGTGCATGATTCTCTATTTGCATAGGATTTTTTGCCGCCAAAAAGGGTTTTGCCAGCCAAATTGAGGTCTGGAAGTGCATATTCCTATAAGTGCATGAAAAAACCACCCGCCAAGCTGTATGTAATTAGAGGGAGCTGACTGTATACGGGAATACACGGAGATTCTCATGACATAGTATATGTGTATTCCAACACCCCCCCTTGCGTCCAACTAGCTTCACTGAGAAAAAGAAAAAAAAGGAGAAAGAGAGAGAGAAAAAAAATAACAGCAGCACGAGACAAGAATAAGAGAAAGATAATCAGAGAGAGAGAGACAAAGTTAAGCAGAGGCAACAAAGAAGGAAATGTGTCAAGAAGTTAGACCAGACCAAACACAGCCCTATGACGTTGAAGCAGCACTCGTGGAAGAGGCTTGGTTAGCATATCCGCCAACATATCTTTGGTAGAGACATGCAATATCGTGATATCTTCATTTTTGACACATTCTCAAACGAAATGAAAACGGGTGTGTATATGTTTGGTCCTGGAGTGATGTTGAGGGTTGCGAGCCAGAGCTTCGGCTCCCTCGTTGTTGACGTGAAGAGGGATAGCTGAAGGAGGTCGTATGTTGAGTTCAGCAAGAAGATATTTAAGCCACATTCCTTCGCAACACAAATCAGACATCGCCTTGTATTCAGCTTCGGTGCTTGAGAGAGAGACCGTAGTCTGCTTGCAAGACTTCCAAGAAATTGGACCACTTCCAAAACGGTAAGTATAACCAGTGGTTGATTGGCGATCATGTCTGTCTTCTGCCCAGTCAGAGTCAGAGTATCCAGATAAAGTCGAGGAACCACCGAGAGTCAGACAAAGGTTGCACGTTGAGGAGAGATAACGAAGAACCCGAATAGCTGCAGAACAATGAGCAGAAGAGGGATCTCGGAGATATTGTGATAAGCGATTAACCGCAAAAGAGATATCGGGTCTGGTACATTGAGCGACCCATAACAAGGCGCCGACAAGACTCGAGTAATGACCAGGAGATGAGGTCTCTTGAGGAGAACGAGGCTTCAGATCCTTAAACGCGGAATCAGTCGGGGTCGAGACAGAGAAATTGTTTGAAGGAATAAACCGTTGAGTAAGTTCCTTGATGTGGTGGGATTGAGATAAGAAAACCTTTCTGGCTGGAATATCTCTCGTGATGTCGAGAGAGAGAAAGTGCGTGAGCTCTTTGTTAGAGGATATTTCAAATTTTGATGAGATGGAAGAGATAATTTCGTCGACAAATGAATCTTCACCAACAATTGCAATGTCATCAACATGAACCGCGAGTGCCCCAACAAGTTTATCGTCCTTCAGGCGATAATAAAGAGTAGGATCATATTTGGATTGAGTAAGGTTGAGAGTGATAAGAAGTTGGTGAAGCTCGGCATTCCAAAGGCGGGGTGATTGCTTAAGCCCGTACAGCGAACGCTGGAGCTCACACACCCAGTCGGGGTGTTCAGGATCTTTGT